CCTAACCCCTCCCCCACACCTACTCCTAAACCTACCAGTACTAGGGGATGCATATAATCTGGCAGGGTGCAAATTTCGGCACTACACCGGCTTTGACATTCCAATATGGCGGACGGTTTACGTATAGAGGCCCATAGAAACAGCGCTAACAAAGCATCTAGCTATACATATCTATGACTGCAACCAATTAAGATTTAAACCCCTGGGAAACCAAAACAAAAAAAAAACGTTGCGGGGGTCTAAAAGCTGTTATTATTCTAAATATCAATAATAAATATTTAATAATAAATATTTCAACGGATTGTTCAAAAGTTTCATTAACAAAAACAAAAAAAAGTTACACTACAACTAAGAGTGCGCTAAATACAAAAATTGCGTTTGCATGTGCAGGTAACCATAGCAACAGTTTATACAGTAATACAAACCAAACAAAATGGACTATAAACCCTGTCATAAAGTACTGGCATTATTTATTACTTTATCATATATTTACGTAACACAAAAAATTGAGGAACCACAGAATAATAAATTCCTATATAAGTCAGTTGCAGCCATTATTAGACTAAATATTCAGTTATTATATGTGTTATATATGTATATACATACAGTATTATCTCACACACACACTCCGTACATAATTCACTAGTGCTTTCACTTTGCACTCTCGTTGCTTACACCTGTTAGGTGCCCGATCACGTTGTGGGTAGATTTAAAGCTTTCAGAAAACCTAGCTCCAACGTCAAACTGTTTCGTTTTACACTGATATTTACATTATTTAGAATGACATCAAAGAAAAAAAGCACTACGGCTTGTACTGTATCCATATACATTAAAGACACGAGAGATGCAGGTTACACATCTCAGTGTTTTGAAGCATTAATAACTGTATGACGAGCGGACAGATAAGGACAGGCAAGTCACGGGTTATCGGAAGCGATCAAAAAGTTGTGAACTACTTTTAGACACGTACAAAAAGGTTTAGACACGGTTTCCCTGAACCGGTCCGCGTCTGTCCCGCATGTAGGTGCGCAGAGTTTCAGTTCTCACGTTCTGCACTAAGTGACGCGTTCTATTCAAAACTTGACTTTATATTATAAACGCAAGTGTTGGATCAAACACAAGCGATCTGTTCTATCGTAAACACCTGGTAGTATTAAACTCACTGGAGTCATAAACAAATAGTTACAATTGACTAGTGAGATCTGTAGCTCATCCAAAAACAGTCTTACCTGTAACGTAACTTCCTGGCTTTCCCGCGACTTTCCAAGTTAGAACAAATGTTGGTTATAAGGTGGATGACAAGGGAGCATGAGTGATCAAAGTTGCCTCTTTTTTTTTCTTTTTCTTTTTGGAGTGTTGTTATTATTGGATTTTCCTATTTCTAACATAGGGCGGGTCGCTCGGAAGATCTGCCCTGGAGAACCGCTTCTGTGGGAAGAGGAATCCTTAATTGAATATCTCAGTTAGCACAGTAAGTTAGCTGGAAAACACGGAATGGATTCCACATATCCGCCCGTCAGGCTAATTGCACTGACTGTGGTATTGATTTGAGCTGCACTGCAGTGAATGATATGGGACATTTTATTCTGTTCATTCATATGACATTGTTGGGGTGTCTTGTGGTCACCTTCTGGATTCACAATCCTGATGACACTTGCTTTAAAGGGGTCATATGATGCTGCTAAAAAGAACATTATTTTGTGTATTTGGTGTAATGAAATGTGTTTATGCGGTTTAAAGTTAAAAAAACACATTATTTTCCACATACTGTACATTATTGTTTCTCCTCTATGCCCTGCCTTTTTGAAACGCGTCGATTTTTACAAAACTAATCGGTCTGAAAAGCGAGGTGTGCTCTGATTAGCCAGCTATCCAGTGCGTTGTGATTAGCCGAATACCTCAAGCGTGAGA